AAATCACATATGATTATACAAATAAAAATCACAGTCTTGTTTAATCACATGTGATTAAAATGTTTTATATGCATAAAATATATCAATTTACATATGATTACACACATGAAAACAATATACACACCAACGACATATGCACATTATCTTTATAATCACATGTGATTGATCAGATGATTATCATATATAAACATATATAAATGATATAAATAAAAAAATAAAATACCTTATATGTTGTTTTTACTTCGTGTTTTTGGTTCTTGTGAATAACTTTAAAAATTTCCCATCCATCTCCCTCCCCTAAATCTTTAACCTCACAAAACCAACCTCCTTTATAAATCTCCTTTTGAACTTCAAAAAAAACTTTGCTAGTATACACCTTTGCTGCATGTTGTTCTATCATACGTGGTGACCTCCAACAATACTTTGCTCCCTTGGTCTTACGATTAAGTTTACGTTGTGTATAACGTTGTTTTTTAATGGCAGCGTTATAATTCATCATGAAATTTAGAAAGAAATTTTCAGTTTCTGAATATGTATTGAAAAATGAATTGATACTCTCAGACCTTGATGTTGTCTTCATCAACCCACACCTTGGAAAATCATTGAAATATGCAGGTACCCATGCTTCCTTATTTTCAAAAATATCTTTAAACCATTTCTCATCTTCAAGATTAAATTCTTTCATCAAAAGTTCCCAACTCCTCTCGAAAATATGACGCTCGATATAAATGTCCCAAACAAGTTTATTGAACCTTTTCTTGAAATTCGTGTTTTTAAGAAATTCCACAGATAGCTGTAATAATCACATGTGATTCAAACATTATAAATTAATATTTAAATATAAAGGTAAAAATCACATCACATAACTTTAAATCCTTTAATCATATCTAATTATAAATGTAATCACATATGATTTCGAATAATCATGTGTTTTTATACTCATAATCATTTATGATAGAATAAACATATGATTTAGACAATCACATCTGATTACAATATTGAAACAAAATCACATATGATTTAAATATGTAAACATTAGAAAACAAATCACATATAATTCAAATCTGTTCAAATTGAAAAATCATATGTGATTTAAAAATATATCCTATGTAAAATCACATGTGATTTAAAAAAAAATGTACCTTTTTTGGCAGTTTCTTCATGATATGCTACATGTACAATCTGTGCTTGGATTGAGAAAAAACAGACTCAACTGCTTGCTTTAATGTTGCATCTTGATCAGTTAAAACAAGAAATGGTTGCTTATTTGAATGAGCCTTCATAAATTGCTCAAGAAGCCATTTATACGAATCCACATCCTCCGTGCTTAACAACCCGGCTCCAACAGTAACAGATGATTTATGATGATCAATGACAGTGAATGGAACAAACACCAATGAATACCTATTTCATGTAATAATCAAAATAAGATTAAACATATTTATAACATAAAAATAAATAACATAAGAATACTTGATAATAAATGATAAATCACATATGATTATAATCAAAATCAAATTACAAATACTTGATGAGAAATTATTCAATCACATATGATTACAATCATCATCACATCAGTATATGATCAATCAGATATGATTATAATCATAATCAAAATACCATACATGTTTAGCATTAGTCAATCATATATCATTACAATAATAATCACATTAGTATAATTATTGAAAAAATATAAATCACATCTGATTATAAACATAAATACATAAAAAAAACTTACTTATTTGTACGAAATGTTGCATCAAGTGACATAACATCTCCAAATTCACTGTAGTATGCTTTATCTGTTTCATCGGCCCAAAACATTGCATTTAATACATTATTCTCATCACATCTATAAAAAACGAATAATTCGGATAGTTGTTTTTCCGATCATTCATCTTGTTCACAATAAGTTGAGCATCTCTGAATCCAATAATTGAGCCCATATCCCTCTTAAAATTTCTGTAATCTACAGCCTTGCCCCTTACATATTGAAACCCACCTTTCAAAGTTGATTTCAGTTTGTAAGCTTTTGTAGCACCCACTTTTGCAGTAGACGCCCGAACAATGAAATCCTTGTCAGAGTATGAAAGACTCCTTGTACTTTTCAAATGAAATGTATCTTCAAGCTCGTGGTTGTGATTTTCTTGAAACTTATCAAACTTATACTCACTTGTTCCTTTGACACGTTTCACAATAATTTTAGCTTTACAATCTGTAACCCTGTAGATTGTATTATGTTCTGTTGGATTCAATTTTGGTTTACCCATCCTGTTACAAACCAAAAACCTATGCTTTGTTATATCACCAACTTTCCTTAATGTGTTCAAACGAACATCAAAACCAGCTTTCTCTGCATATCTTTTATAAAAATTAATTCCCTCATCGACATCTTTGAACCTCATTTCCTTAGTAGGTTTAAACTCTACAGAAACATCTTGTTTGATATCATGTAGAGCCTCTGACAAATAAAACTCTAATACACAACTTGAACTATTTGAATTTCCATTATTAAAAGAATTAGAACAGTCACCTGTATGATCGAATATAGAAAACATTTTAATAATATATTATTATAAAATAAACAATTGAATATACATAAATCAAAACAATATAAAATCACATGTGATTAATAATGAATTTGTTATATAATCATATATGATTAAAATAAATAATTGAACATATATAAAAAAAATGGATAATCAGATATGATTAACACTATATTAAACATAATTATAAAAAAACTAATTAATAATTACAAAAGATTAACAAAACAGATTAAATCAACAATAATGAATTACTTATAATCACATCTGATTATCTAAGGAATTCATTATTAATCAAATGTGATTGTATAAGGAATTCATTATCAATCACATGTGATTGTACATTACATACATTGATATATATTCAATTCTAAAAAAACATTAGTAATAAACTACTAATTAATAATCACATAAGATTAACAAAAAAGTTTAAATCAACAATAATGAATTACTTATAATCACATGTGATTATATAAAGAATTCATTATTAATCAAATGTGATTGTATAAGGAATTCATTATCAATTACATGTGATTGTACATTACCTACATTGATATATATTCAATTCTAAAAAACATTAATAATGAACTACTAATTAATAATCACATAAGATTAACAAAAAAGATTAAATCAACAATAATGAATTACTTTATAATCACATGTGATTATATAAGGAATTCATTATTACTCCCATGTGATTGTATAATGAATTCATTATCAATCACATGTGATTGTACATTACATACATTGATATATATTCAATTCTAAAAAACATTAATAATTAAAAAAAATTGATATATAATAATAAAAAAATAAATAAGTATTTAAATTTTTTTACCTGAAACACTAAAGTTTTGGATTTGATGACTTGAATGTTCAAAATCTTCATCCATATAGTTTGTGATTTGATGACTTGAATGTTCAACATCTTCATTAACTTCTTCATTACTAATTTCATTTTCATTTATGAAGAAATTAACATTATGGCTTGTAAAAGACGTTATGAAACAACAGAACCTGTCATTAACAACATAAATAACTATTATTACAAAATATATTAATAATATATGATTTAAAAAACTATAACATATAATTTCAGAAAAATTTATGATTATAACATATATCAATCATATGTGATTTTAAAAATATATGACTAAAACATTTATGATTATAACATATATTAATCATATATGATTGAAAGAATTGTATTATACTTTATAACAAATACAAGATTTTTGTCATCGTCAAATCAGACCCTACTTATTAAAAAAATTCTAAGAGGACTTTCATCAAACAGTTGGTGTGCAACACAAAAAACTCCAAATCAATGTGAAATATCAGTACATAATGATCCCGTTTTCATTCAAACACACAAATCACAAATTAAATTACCAGTGAAACGAAATCGGAGAGGATAAGATAGGGGCGGTATCCGATAACTTCGTTTTCCGAATAGTTGATTTTGTATCCTTCTATTTCAGATCTGGTGTAAACAAATCTGGTAGGTGATGAAACAATATAAGAGAGTAAAGGAGAGGGATGTGGTTGCCGAAAAGGCGGTTTCACGACTGATTCAAGGAGGTGGTACAGGAAGGCGTTTCAAGAAGATGAAAGCCGGAAAAAAGATATTTTCTGACGATAATACGAGTGGAGATGGAGGGAGAGGAAACAGTTGGCCGATTCAGGCGAGTGTCCGACGATTACGACGATTCCGACGACGGACGCTCACTCCGGTAATGGTTCGGTGGTCTAATTGGGTGGTGCAAGTTCAAAAACGACTGAGAGACGTCATAGTAGGTGGGGCCTTTTGTATTAGTCTAATTAAAAAATGTTCTCAAATGTTCTCAGGGGAAAAATGTTCTCATTGGAACATAACTCTCTCTCTCTCTCTCTCTCTATATATATATATATATATATATATATATATATATATATATATATATATATATATATATATATATATATTTGTGGTAACATGTGTGATTTTGTTAGCTTTCCAATTTTCCAGTCCAGTAGTGTTTAATGAAATAATGAAACACATTGATGTAGATATGTGCTTTATTCGTGAAAATGTAGCTGATGGTGTATTGTATTCAAGGTGGTTTAAATTAATACTCAACATCAAAGAAACTATAGAAGCCTCGAATGTATTTCATCATACTTTTTGAACCGACGTGTTGAAATTAACTTGAAGGAGGGTGTTGGAAATATTGGAGTATTGCATCAAAATTGCTGTTTTTGTTTTTATGTAGCATGTTTTTGTTTTTATGTAGGAAAATTGCTGTTGGGTAAAAGTTGACAAAAAGGCTAAAAGTGAAGGGACTAAATTGTTGAGTCATTGAGTGACGTGGCAAAGTGGATTTGCATATAAAATCGAACTTCCGTCCTTTTCTTTCTACCCTTCGTCTTTTCGGTAAGAAACCCTTTTTATGATTTTCTATTAATATGAAAGAAGACGACGATTCTGGTTTTTCTAATTTCACCGATGTTGAAGCAGAGCATCAGCGGCATGTCTGGTAGAAGAAGGAACAGGAAAAAGAAAGCGAATGCGGTCTCTGTGACGGTGGTGGGGAAGGGTTCCGACAATATAACCGGGGATCAGGAATTGATTGCGTCCGCTGCTGTTGAGAAGATTCAGGTTAGTGAACCTCCATTTTTGATAACTTTTAACATTCATAGAATTTAGTTAATTAGCGATGAAACTTCCCAGACTCGTTCTGGACATCCAGTATAGTATTAAATGCTCTATTCATATCAGACTCGCTCTGGTGTGTGTTTTGTGGCATCTACTCTCATCTGGCTTAATCTCTCAAATAATATCCATATGGGAAGATGTTATGGCTTTGTGTAATTGTAAAAAACGAACACGTAAAACGTACATCTGAAATCATCATATGGCTTTGTTCTGTCATCTTAGAAGTATTGATCCAGTTTTCTTTTAAAATTTAGTTTCATAATCCAAAACTGATAGTTTTCCTTGAATGTGGAAGATATTTGATGAGGCTTCTCATTCTAACAATGATGATCTGGAGAAGGGTGATATGTCATTCGCAGGTGGTAGTAGCCAGGTAAGAGTCTGCAATTAGTTCATCTAATCCAACCCTTTTGCAGAAATTTATTTAGATCACTTTATTTTGCATTGCTATAGATGATTTTGGTGCCAATAATAAATTTGATCTTGTTGTATGAGTTATGCTAGTGTTGTTGCTAATTCTGGAAGTGAAGCCCCTCCTCCTGCATCTGAAAAGAGTGAAAACGGATTTGTAAATAAGTTGGAAGTGGATTTACGTGGACAGCGTGTAGAAGAGGGAATTGAGTATTTGAAAAATTACCTTGTATTAGGTGCATTTTGGGGGTAAGTATGTATCTATTTCATTGTAATAATGTATATGCTTTTGGTTTTGATTGTCTCTTAATTGATTAAGTCTACAGATGTTGACTATATCCGAGTCATCACTGCAAGGCGGGGCCTATCCGAGCTACAACAGGCCGTATGCAGTCTAATCATTTCTTTTTTATTAAATAAACTAGTTGTGAGACCCGTATATTATACGGGTTGATTAAAACATAATGTTAAATAGGAGCGATTAAATGAGAAGTTTATTTGAATTTGAAATATGAAATAAGTGAAAATTATGAGAAAAAAAAACATGCAAAAAATAAATTAATTAAAATTATGTGTTTAATTGTCAGATCCGTGTACTAAACGAGTTATTATAACAAAATGTTAAATACAAAGGTTTGAAGTGTAAATTTATTTGAAATTGAAATTTCAAATTTCAAATTAATAGTCATTATGGTAGGTTTAATTTATGGAAACTAAATTAATGATATATTGGAAATGAATAATGAAGTAATGACAAGTGGAAAATAAAATATATCTCAAAATTATGACAAAATGATATGTGGCCAATTGAATGAGAGAATGACAAGTGGCAATAAAATTTTCATTTATTAGGGTAGATATATTTTTGTAACTTAAGATGTGGGATTTGATGTTTTTTGCAGATTTGTGATCTCTTAGACGAACAAGGTATCAAGTGGGAGTTTGAAAATAGAAACCTCATGATGACATTTGGCAGGCAGAAGAAAGAGTTGGATTTGGTGGAATCTGATAGAAATTTAAAGTGTATCGGGAACAGAGTCAGAATAGTGAATGGACGTGTAGTGGTTTTTAAAGCTGATCATCAAAGTGTTATCGATGATCTTTTGAGGTAGTAAGTAGTTGATGTTGTAAATAAAAAAAGATTCATAGGAAAACTGATTTGCCACTTGTTGAGAGATTTTCCTTATCACCAGAAGGTGTTTCTGGATTAGTGGATTTTCTTCACTTGCATCTTCCTTTATAGTCTTCTTCAATTAATGTTTTCCTGATTCACTCCCCTTCAGTTGTAAAATCAATCATTATAACCCACAGATTTATTATGAAAAATCGGAAACCATGTCTCCAGAGTTGATGCTCTAGCATGCTTCTGATCTCTCAATTTAGGTATGTTGATTTAGGTTTTACTCTTTTCTTTACTACTCGGACGTTTTTGGTTTGTCTATTTAGGTTTTCTCTAAGTTCTTCATGGAAACTTACTTTCTCATTAAAAGGTTATAAGAGATGATGAAGATATCGGTTTGAAGCTTGATTTAAGTTTTATTTTTTTCATCCAAAGGTTATCTCGATTTAGGCGTCTGTTGTATTAATTTCGAGTTTGATAATAACTTGATTTATTTTATAGGATTGAAGCTTTTAGTTTTATTTCAAGTTTGACAATAACTTGATTTATTTTATACAGCAAGTGATGTCTTTACAGCAGTAACTTCTACCTCAGCTTAATCAGTCGCAATCTAACTTTGTAAGTGGAAATGATTTTTTTACTATTTTTTCTTGTAACTGCTTTGATTTCCACTGGTTTAAACCAGTGTCTTCTAAATGTTTTGGAAAAACTAGAACGTAAAATTACCAAAAAAATAGCATGTCTTAGGTTTAAGTTAGACTATATTACATTTTCGGTTCCACTTAAAGCTGATTTTTGCAATTTTGTCCCAAAAGTATCATCAAGTTCTTGCAATCTGTTATACCCTTTATACATCTATCTGGAGATGGTAACAGGGTCCATTTATACATTATTATTAAACAAAGACCATTGCTATAATTATTTATGCGTTATTACAACTGCAATTATTTTATTTTTTGAAATAAGACAACTAATTTGCTTCAATTCAATTGTAAATTTTAGCATTTCACAAAGTAAATTTTAGCAGTTCATCTTCACCTCGTGATTCTTTTGTCACTCCTACATCCCACTAACCTACCATTTAATTACTGTTTACGATGAATTTGATAATGTTAATGATTTGGGTTCTTTATTTATGGAAAGTTAGCAAAAACAAGATCTCTTTACATGATGGGGTTTTCTAAACCAACAATTGTTTTCTATATTCCGCTCTGGTTAACTACAAAATCTAAAAGAAACAAAGAGGTTTCATAGGGTTTTTTGGTTCTACATTCTTAGCTTTTTGTGATTATCTTGCTTACAAGAGTAGTTAAGGGTGCGTTTAGTTGCGGAAAAATGAGCCGTTTTCCGGAAAAAATTTCCAAGAAAAATGAGAATTTTGAAAACGCATTTAGTTCGTCTATTTTTCTAAAATTTTCACGGAAAATGAAAATTTTCCGTTTTCTAAAATTACAAATAAGTTTGAAATTTTTGAAAAACCGATAATCATTATTTTCCACATTTTTCTAATTCTAAAATCTTTCTAAAATATAAACACTCACTCCCACCCCATCCACCTCTACCTACCCTCACCTTAATACCCCAACCCACCACACCCCTACCTACCACCACTGCCCGCCGCCACTGCCCCCACCACCGTCACCGTCCCCACGCCCACCCTACCACCGCTACCATTTTCTAAAAATGAAATCTGATAGAAAAACACACATCTAAACGCGTTTTCTAATTTTCTAAAACTGAAAATGAAAAAGTTTTAACTAAACGCGTTTTCTAAATTTTCCAATGAAAACCGAAAACGAAAAACGAAAATTGAAAAAGGAAAAGGAAAAAACGGAAAATGAAAACTGTTTTTCCGTAACTAAACGCAACCTAATTTGCGAGAAATTCAATCAATTATTATATAATATGTTCATAAAAGTATGTTCCTGGTTTTTTGTATCGTTTCTTTTAAGAAAATGGTGGGAATCTTTGATACAAAGAACTTTCATAGGTGTATTGGTATGGCTTATGTATTTGTTTGATAATGCATATTTATTAATCATTATGATTTGTAATTTATTTTAGACAAAATTACAAAAATGGTCCTTGTGATTTGCCGAAAATCACAAAGTCAGTCCTTACTAATTTTTTTGATGCAAATGATCCTTATAGTTTGCAAAACTTGCAAAGATGACCATTTTACTAACACCGTTAGTATTAAGTCGTTAGGGACTAAATCTGTAAATGCATTTTTATCTTTTCAAGTATAAAGGGACTGAATTCGTGACATTTGATAAACCACAAAGACCATTTTTGTAATTTGTCTTAAAAAAACTTTTTTTAATAAAACAAAATATATTTTTAGTCGTATTGTAAAAAAATTATAAACAATTTGTTTGTTTTTACGTATTTGTTTTACGTAAAATAATTTCTTATGTATTTAAAAAAAATAAGTTTTCGTATAATATATTATTACATTGCTATAATCCTAAAACATATTTTTACGTTTTCATATAAAATAAGTTTTTTTTTCTTTCACATAGAAAAAATAATTCGTATTAAATTTATGTAAAATATGTTTTTTTATATATTTAAAAAATATGTTTTCGTATAAAATGTTATTAGATTGTTATAATCCGAAAATATACTTTTAAATACATAAAAAACGTAATAACATTATTATACAAAAACGTAATCCTAAAAAACATAAAAAAAGTTTTTTGTATATATTTATTTTATGTGAAGTATGTTTTTTATGCATTTAAAAAATACATTTTCGTATAATACGTTATTGCGTTATAATCCTAAAATATACTTTTACGTTATCTTAATGTCTTTAGTTGATTTAAAGCGAATATGCAAATATTTTTTTACGTAAACACATTAACGTGATAACATATTGTATGATAAAGCATTTTTATGTTATGTTAACGTCTTTAGTTTGTATAGATATATATAATATATATATATATATATATATAGATATATATATAATATATATATATATATATATATATATATATATATATATTATATGTGTGTGTGTGTGTGTGTGCGCGCCGTTTTGCTTTGATCCTAAAACATATTTTTATGTTATGTTTTAAGATCATATCAATGTAATAACATACTATACGAAAACGTATTTTTTTTAAAATACATAAAAATGTATATTTTACGTTAACACGTAAAAAAACATATATACGAGGATATTTAAATACGTAAAAACAAAAGGTAGGAGGATATTTAATTTTTTTTTCGTATAATATGTGATTGCTTTTTTTAGGTATTTAAAAGTATATATTTTCGGATTATAACAATGTAATAACATATTATACGAAAGCATATTTTTTAAATACATAAAAACGTATAGTTTACGTAAAACGAATACGTAAAAAAACATATAAATTGTTTGTAATTTTTTTACAATACGCTAAAAATATATTGTTTTATTAACTTTTTTTTGTAAAAATAAGTTTTTTTAAAGATTTTATTATTAATTTATTTACGATTTATAATATTAATTAGTTTTCGAAAATATAAAACAAGTGTTACTCTAGCCTAGTTGGTTAAGGTTTGGTTGATGAATGGTGAGGGGGACCAAGTCCAAAGTTCCAATCATACTCTTCTCATTTTCTATCATTTATATTATTTTATGACAAATTACAAATATGGTCCATGTGGTTTATCAAATGTCACAAATTCAGTCCCTTTTAACCTTGAAAAAATGAAAATGTTCTTATAGATTCAGTCCCACCCTAACGGCGTTAGTAAAAAGGGCCATCCTTGCAAGCTTTGCAAACAATAAAGACCATTTGCATAAAAAATCAGCAGAAACTGACTTTGTGAATTTTGGCAAACCATGGGGACCATTTTTGTAATTTTGTCTTTATTTTATCTTTTTTTATGTTGATGTAGGTTGCTTATATACCATATTTATTTTAAATAGAATAATACTATATTCATGATTTGATTTTCTATGATTTTTTTTTCATTTTTCTAAATTTGATATTTTGTTGTACCACGTGATTTTTATTACCAACAACCAACAATTTAGATATATAGAAAGTTGTTTATATATTTGAACCGATTTACATGTTAATTCAAATTAACCATTATATAGTTACATACAAAATTTCTACATATCTTTAGTGTTGTAAAACTCGTTGAGTTGTCCGATTAATCGGTTGAATACTCCCTACTCGACTAGCGAGTAGTGTTGACAAACTCGACCAACTCAGTGATTAATATGTATAATATAATTAATGATTTATTACTTAACATACACACATGTGATTATTACTACATATATATCTTAAATTTTTAGTAATTATTCACGAAGTAAGATCATTTTGTGTGTTTTTCAGTTTTTGTGTATTCACATGTATCTAATTTTGTTATATATTTCAATCAACTTATGGTTTTAATTTATGATTTTTACATATATAATTTTTCTAAAAATATTTCTACATGAATTACCAAATCCAAATACTCCCCGAATACTTATGAGTATTCGCTACTCAGTAGTCAGCCGAACACGTACCGAATAGCGAGTTCTACAACCATGTCTATCTTTAAAAAATAACTCTTTGTAAATTTATGATTATTTTAACGTTTTTTAAAGTTTCAATATTGGTGTCCCTAAAAGTTGTAATAAGATCACTAAGGGTAATGATATGTTGTTTATATTCAATCGTTTCTATAATTCATTAATAATTATGACTTTTTCCTATAGAAAATTATTTAACCTTGTAATTCTCCCACATGCTATAAGCTAGTTTTAAATAAGTAACCTTACCCCCATCCCACCTACTTTGGTTTTTTCTTTAGGAGGAAAAAGAACCAGAAACAAAAATGTGCGTGTGTATGTTGTGAGTCGACGACGAGAGAAAGAAGAGGCCAATGGCCTTTCATGGACGATGATGATAGTGCAACCAAATAGGTTGGCCCTCACCTTTTATGTGTGCGATAAAGAGACGAAGATATCGGAGAAAAAGAACACGAAGGTTAGAGCAATGCTCGCTGATGCTACTGGCGGGCTTGGATGTGGTCATGGGGTTGTAAAGCCGGA